TATTATAATTAACTTTATCAAAAATTAGGAAAAAAAAATCCAAAAGAGTTCAAAAATGTATTATAATATTCTCAATTTTGAGTTTAATTATATTGTTCATTCTCAAAGTAGAAAATTATATTGTATTTATTTTAATTTAATAAAATATAATTTAAATTTTTAATACTAAAATTAAAAGATTAAATAATAATGAATTTAATTCTTTAAATTGAGTATTTAGAAAGTCAAATTATAGTTTCTCTGTTTTAAATAATTAAAATAAATAGTTAAAAATAAAAATCAAGACTAGTATTATCTTCAATTTATTAAAAGTGTAATCAAATCTCTATTTGCTTAGTTTTTTTTGTTTCAAACTTTTCAATTCTACATTTTTGTAACTTCTATCATTATATTATCATCCTCATCTCCTCCCATGTTCAACTTTATCTTTACAATAGTTAATATTCTTAAATAATCTATATTTTTAATTATAATTTTTGAATATATATTTAGAAATTAATCAATTCTAATCTATTATTTGAAAAACTAATCAATTCTAATCAATAATTTACAAAACTAATCGATTATAATTATTTCTTTGAAAAAATTAGCAAATATGATCGATCATTTTGAAAATCTGATCGATCGAAGTCAAAATCTTGTTGTATATGATAGCGGTTCCACTTGGAACCGCTATTATATGCTCACGTTTAAGAGCGGTTAAAATATTAACCGCTCTTAAAAGTGCCAATGTCGCTCGAGCGAGTCCAATTTCGCTCAAGCGAAATACAACCCGAGAATGTCAATACCAGGGCTACGTCCAGATCTCGACCAAATTCCAGTTGGGTTCCACTAGATCAAATGTTTTACTGATTTACAATCTTACACTTAATCTACCACAAGAACCAAATTCCAGTTCCTGCAGTCAACCTCTCACCAAGAACCAAATTCCAGTTCTTGATAACCTCTACAACCAAATTCCAGCTGCAGAGAAACCATTGCCCAAATTCCAGGCACCAAACAATACAAAAAGAATGTAAAGAAATGAAAAAGAAGAAACTAGAATGCTCAAACCGAGTGTATGCAATTCTGCTGTAAGTGTTTCTTCTTCAAATGAAATCAAGTTGCCTCAAGAAAGATTTTCAAAGAACTTCTCAAAAGCTGACGCGAATCTTTCTTGAAAAGAGTGCTAAAGTTTGCTTGATTGATTGCTCAAGGATGTGTAAAAACTTATGTGTAAACGAGTTCAAACAACTCTGTTTTTATAGAAGATTTTCAAAACAATTGTATTAATTAATCTGTTAAAAGATTCTTTTAATCTGTTAAAAGTGCAGTTTTAATCTGTTAAAACTTCTTTTAATCCATTAATACGTTCTTGATTCTTTAACAGATTTGTTTTAAGCTGATACGACAACGTTTATATCAATTAAAACACTTTACAAAAAATTTTCTAAGTTGATTTAATCGATTGTTTCTCGATTCAATCGATTGAAATACTTGCAAAACTTTCTTGTAAAACTTTTCAAGTTATTTTAACTGATAAGAATAAGTTTTAATCGATTAAAACGCTGTGTAGGGAATTTCTAAGTTGTTTTAATCGATTGAAACGAGATTTAATCGATTGTAAAAGTTCTGATCGGTCATAACTCAATTCTGATCGATCATCCTGCACTCTTAAGTGGTTTTAATCGATTAAAATCAAGTTGTATCGATTAAAATACTGTAAAAACATTTCACTTAACATTTTAAGTAATTTTAATTGGTTATATCAAAGATGTATCAGTTATAAAAAATGTTTAAGAAAGCTTTTGTCAAAATACTTTGTTTTTTATTGTTTAAAAGATTTTTAGAGGCATTTTGCAAAATCTTTTAAGTGAAGAAACCCCATGCAGCAGAAAAGATAAAATAATTATACCTAAGCATAGCTGCGGATACACTAATCTTTCTACACTTTTATCTTAGTAACTTTTGTCCACTGCAAAGTTGCTTTTGACTTCATCTTCGACTTCATCAAATCAATGAGATCTTTGTCAATGTATTTCAATAAGATCTTCATCACTTTCAACATTAACTATTTTTTTGAATATTATGTTTTTAAATTTGTTATTAGAGAAAACCTTTCGGAATTCAAAATGTTAAATACTTTTAAATATTAACTAGTTTCTCTGAATTCAATAAGATCTTCATCACTTTCAACATTAACTAGTTTCTCTGTTTTAAATAATTAAAATAAATAGTTAAAAATAAAAATCAAAACTAGTATTATCTTCAATTTATTAAAAGTGTAATTAAATCTCTATTTTCTTAATTTTTTTTGTTTCAAACTTCTCAATTCTACATTTTTGTAACTTCTATCATTATATATTATCATCCTCATCTCCTCCCATGTTCAACTTTATGTTTACAATAGTTAATATTCTTAAATAATGTATATTTTTAATTATAATTTTTGAATATATATTTTGAAATTAATCAATTCTAATATATTATGTGAAAAACTAATCAATTCTAATCAATAATTTAGAAAACTAATCGATTATCATTAATTCTTTGAAAAAATTATCAAATATGATTGATCATTTTGAAATTCGATCGATCGAGAAAGTCAAAATATTGTTGTATGTGATAGCGGTTCCACTGGAACCGCTATTACAAATTACTTCTAATAAGCGGTTAAACCTTAACCGCTATCTAATATACACTTTAGATAGCGGTTAAGGTGGAACCGCTATTATATCCACCGAATTATGATCGATCATTTCGAATTATGATCGTTCATAATTAAACTTATTATGTTCGCTCGAGCGATATTATGTTCGCTTGAGCGAATGTTGACTTGCGTCAATGTAACATGGGTGATTCATGTTTGAATCGGATTTAGCTCGAGCGAGAGTAGTTTCGCTCAAGCGAAATACAACCCGAGAATGCCACTTCGTGCAGGTGGTGTCGCTCGAGCGATGTTTTTTCGCTTGAGCGATTTTGCAAAAATCAGTTGTAAGCATTGATTATTTTCTCATTAGCGATCGATTTTAATTCGGTCGCTATTTCAATTTGTAATTCGATCGCTAAATCGATCGCTAAATGAATCTCTTATTTATGTATGAAATAGCCACCGATTTAGCGACCGAAAATTTGCGACGCACAAAAATTGGTTGCTATTTCGGTCGCTAAATATAAAATGAAAACCAAATCATACTTTGGTCGCTAAATCGGTCGCTAATTGCAATCGAATTAAGGTGGTCGCTAAATCGGTCTCTAAATGTGACTAAAATTAAATTGGTCACTAAATCGGTCGCTAATTTCGGTGGCTAAATCTGTTTTTTCTTGTAGTGATATATCAAAGTTTCATTGATCGAAAAGACAGAGAGAAGAATAAAGGATGAAATAGGCATAAGAATGTTGGACTTACATGATATTAAAGTGTTTGAATAATTGAATATTCAAATAATAAAAAAAATTATTGAATGTAAAATGAATTGTTGAATTAGATATTGTGGTAGATGATAATTTGATAATTAGATATAATAATTTGTTTTAATTAGATTAATTAGCCTAATTAACTCTAATTTCTTTAATTGAATAATTAAATATAATAATTAATTTTGGTTAATTAGTCTAACTTTCTCCAATTTCTTTTATAAATAACAGTTGTAAGAACTATATATATTGTTCACATATTTATATACGATTTACATTTCTAGTATCTCTCTCAATACACTTCTTTCAATATTCTTGTTCTAAACCCCTTTCTAACAATTTCATCGTTCAACATTTCTTTCGCAAGAAAGTGAAGAAAAAGCTACAAGAGCAAATTAATCTGTCTGGACTTGCAAATTGCAATCACTCTTTTTGGGTATTTATAAAATGGGCAACAGACAACCAGAAAGGTACCACAGAATTTATGACATATACTTGACTACACCACTGGAAGAGGTCGTTTTACTTTTCTAGGAGGGCTGTTTCTCGTATTTTCAACTTGGGAAACTCCACATATTATCATCTTTCACTCCAACGATCATGATTCCTTCACGTGTCACACATCTCCTAGACTACAATTCAAATTTATCAATTTTTTTATTCAGAACAAATTATTATTATTAATATATATATATATATATATATATATATATATATATATATATATATTATTTCATGTTTTCTGTCTGACAAAATTGAATTCGGCTTAAAATTATATTTTCTATATTTGAATTGTGAAAAAAAAGTATAAAATATTATTTTTAAACTGAATTATTAATATTGTTATAAATATAATAATTAAAAGAACAATAATTATAAAGATTTTGATATTTTTAATAATAGTAGAGTCAAATTATATATCAAATGCAATTTATTCATCTTAAATGAACTAGATTCTTGTAATTTGTAGATGATTTAACCCATTACTATATATGCAGAGTCGCAGAGCTAGAAGTTGAGGGAAGTCAAGGTAAAATAAAATATTTTTCTTTCAAAATAATAAAATAAAAAATAAAAAAATATATAAATATTAAATATATAAAATTATAGGCTCCATGAATGACCCTATAAGTCATCCTAGCTCCGCGTATATAAACATAATAAATTCAGGCATTTTGCTCGTATATTACTAAATTTTTCATATTTTATACGAATTTTATATAAAATTTCTTATGCCCTGAGTTTCTTACATAATTTTTTAAAACTTACATAAAATTTACAAAAAAAATAAAAATAAAAAATAGACTTATCAAATGTGAAATGCTCTTGCGATAATATTTATGAACGATTTATGTAATGAAAAACTCAGCGATAATGGTGATAGTGTGGGAGGAAACCATGACAGAAAAAAAAAATGTAAACAAATTACACGGATGAAATAAATCATGGAAACCAACTATAATTGGATGGATGATAAAATTCATCAATACTATCACAGGAAAGAAGTGATTCTTTATTTCTTTATTCAGACATATATGTGGCTGAAATATGTGCGTAAGCACTTATGTTGGGGAGAGGTGTATGTAAGCAATGAGGTTAAGAAGTTAGTTATTAGGACAGAATGTGATGGCATAGTCAGGCCTGTTGGAACAAGTGAAGGTGCTGTTCTTGTCATCGTAAGCGTAGGAATAAGCATCAGGACACTGCTCCTCGAAAATCTGAGAGTAGTTCGTTGGTGGACATGTCTCTGCAGTACCGTATGCACCTTTGCAACAATACTTATCATCTCCGAAAGCCAAACACGCACTCTTGCAAGCAATCACGCTACCATCAGACCCTTTCATTTGAAGTTCTGCAGGGCACACATCGTTTATGTTCTTAGGGCAACTCGAGGTTTTGCAGTCGCCACTTCCACCTTGTGGGGTTACGGACAAGGGGATATTGAACCCGTCCACGTTGCTCACGTCGTAGTAATCCTGTCCTCCGTTTTCTGCAACCGTTATTTCTACCAGAGTTGCTGGTGGCACTGCACCTGCGCCGTTGCACTCGACTTGTCCGGAGGCGCAATCAGCGGTGGCGCAAGTGAACTTGCCGTTGTTGTTGGAGCATCCGGTTCGGGCCCAGAAGCGGCCCGACCATGGAGATGGAAGGTCTAAAGAGTTGGAGGCTCCTGGAGCCAATTCGAAACCCGTTGATGATAACTGCGTCTTTTGGTCTCCGGTTAGGGTTCCTGGCCATACTGTGTATGTGCACTTGTTTGTGAATGTAACCTTGGCTCCTTGAGACACTGCACATATGCAAAACCCAGTTCACAAATGAGTGTTGCTATGCAGTAGGCATAAATGAGTGTAACAACTAGTATGACACATGATAATACGCAAAGAAGGAAACGAAATGAAGTTGAAAATAAGATACATACCGTAGAAGAGGAATGCAAAGCAAAGGCAGAGAGCAAGAGGGGTGGTCGACATTGTTGGATATAGTTATCGTTGTCAGGTGCAATGGTGATTTTTGCATGTTGGGAACTTTCCTATTTATAGCCAAGGAGCCTTGAATCTTCAACAATTCCCATTTGCTAGGTGGAACAATTGTGTGGCATGATATATGAGATAGTTAAGTTGAAGGGTGAGATGAGATTGACCGCAAGAAGGGGCTGTTGTCATATCTTCTGCCGTGTATAGAAATGTCTTCACAGCTTATCTTGCAATCACCCTGGATCGACGGCTTGAATATGTTGCAGCAGTTTCTCCACGCGGAAATTAATTCCTTCATCCATAATCTTCTTATTCAAACCACTGGTGCTTTTAATCGTATCATACAAAATTAAATTAGTTAATTAACTAAAATTTATATTTAATACATATAAATAAAACAATAAAAAATAATTAATATCTTCTGAAAAGAATCTGAAGTAAAATTAATCGTAGAATAATGTTAAATATAATTTTCAAAAGTAATATATATGTACATATATATATATATATAGTAGACATAAAATAAATTAATTTATTAGTTATTATGTATTTATTTATTATATTTATAAGTTTCTATTTAAAATATAGATATCATATGTACTGCAGATAAAATAAATTAAACACTTTATTCATTCCTTTTTTAATTTTTAAATAGTTAAAGTGAAGGTACAATAATAATTTTAAAACTGTAAATGTCGGAATATTTGCATTAATTTTATATCAATGGTTTTAATTTTCCTAAACAGTTACAAAAAACGTTTGAACATTAATGACGTTTGAACATTGAAAAAACATTTGAACATTCAAAAGAATATATTTAATATGGAATTTTAACCCACGCCTCATCGTGCTTTAAATTTTTCTTTCAGTATTAATATTATGAGCATATAATAAAGAAAAAAATTTGGAAAAAAAAATTCTGTTCAAATAAAGGATACTTTGGCTGTTTTACTCTCATTATTTTATTTTTATTTACTTCAAAGTTATAATACTACAAGGTATTTAATATATATTTTTAGGCTCATTATTTTAATTTCTTAATCATTTGAAGTTTGGGAAAGAATATTAGGTTCTAATAATTATTATTGATTATTTAGTTATTTAATATGTTTATTTATTGGTTATTAGGAATAAATTTATTTTGTTTATAAATTCTAATTTATAGATAATACTTTAAGAAAACAATTTAATTTTCAAAATAATTAGTGTTAACATAAAATAGTGTTTTTATAACTATAAATTACACATAGTTTTATATTAAAACATAATTTAACTCTTGTTTTACAACTTATATTAAATTTATAATATTATTGAGATAAAACTCTAATTATAATTAAAAGAATAATAGAAATAATATTGTAGTATATAAGTTTTGCCTTTTTATAACTAAGAGTGTTTAAAAGTTGTGATTCATTTGCTATATTTATAAATTTAATTGGTAAATAAATATAACATAAAAGTGAATTAAAAATATTTATATTTTTAAGCAATATTATATTTGTGCCTGAAATTACCAAATTAAGTTTTAAAAAAATAAAAATAATAGTTTGATTAATAATTAATTTTTTTCAATGTTGAAATTAATATATTAAAAATATCTATATTTTTGCCAAATTGTTTTAGGATATATAGTTCAATCATAGCATATGGTATTGAACAATTTTGATCAGTAACATATGTTATAATTCACTATTCGATCCAACGATGAATTACTTAAACAATGTGGGGTTTTTAATATTATTCAAAATTTAATAGTATTGAATTTTTATATTTATTATAATTTGAAACATTTAAAGAAAATTAGTAAAGAATAATAACAATAATTTGTTATAAATTAAATATGCCAAGAAAGTAAATAGTAAAAAAATAAATTTAACTCATTATTAAGAATAAAATAAAAATTAATAAAGAAAATTAACGAATGTAGTGATCCAAATTACAAAAAACTTCGTTAAAAATATTTATTTTTCGTTCTTAGCGTTTTTTAGAATGTAATTTCTTTGTACAATTTGACAATTATTTTGGTTATATATATTTTTTTATATTATATATATTTTTCAATGTAACCACCAAAGTGACGTAAAATAAAATAAAAATAATAATAAAATATATAAAATAAAACTATTAGCTAGAATCTTTTAATGGTTATTTCTTTGTAATGGTTTCTCTTTGCCCCATTGTTATGTGTCACTTATAACTATGCATACCAAAGAGTTAGATCATAATTGTCTTCATAAATCTTTTAATACACCACTCTTGAAGATTCTTCAACATAACCCTTATAGATCACTACAAAAAACTTCATAATTATTAGAGGTTTATTTTCAGCAGTTATAACAACCGTAAAAATTAAATGTAATTTATGACAAAAAATTTAAATGACACAATAATTATAATTAATTTTAATTTTTTTATTTTATTTTATTTTTATTTATTTATTTTCATTTTTCCTTTTCTTATTCTCTCACTTTCTTCTACCTTCTCTTTCTCTCTTTGCCATCTCTTTCTCTATTTACCGTTTCATTCATTTTCACACTCATCCTTCACTGTAACGTTTCATCCTTCACTGCAAGGTCACGTATCCTCTCTCAATCACCAATTCAGGTTTAATCCTTCTTACGTTTTACTTTTCAATTTCACATGTTTGTGATTTTTGTGGAAGATTACAAGAGTTTTATCTATCATTTGTTCTTCAATTTATAGTATATGCTAATTTCTCCTTCTCTTCTCTGTGTGGCGCATGACAATCTACATTCAACCATTTTTTGTTTTTCCTTAACCTCGGGTACGGAACTTTTAATATCATTTCTTGTTTCGTTGTATTTTGTTGTTGTTCTATTTGTATTTCGAGCCACAGTGCGAATTATTGAGTCACTGTTAATTGTTGTAGGACATATTTGTAGAACTTGTGACAGACAATTAACTATTTTGGAATGACTAAGTTGTAATTTTCGATTGTCTTTCAGGTGTTCGAAGGAATGCATGAAAGAAATTGAAAAGTGATTTGGTTGCTGAAGGCATACTTTCTCTCTCATTCTAGAATCAATTTGCATTTCAATTTGTTTTTATCAGGTTCTTGTTTTTTAATCTTCCAACTTGGGATCCTAAGAGTGCATTTTTTTTAACACCTTTGTGCCAGGACATACACTTAACAACAACTGGGCCAAGATGCTAGGTTGTTTTTATCACTTTGAAGCTGTTGTAGAAGAATTAAGATAGTTATGGATTAACTGATACAATTGCTTGGAATTGGTTTATGTTTTGAATGTAATAAGTCTCAATTTTTGGTCCTGCATCTAGTTTCCTCAACTCACTGGCTAGATAGATACTATATCTAGTTTACAATAATATGACTTTTGCTGGCCTTTTGTCCTCTATCAATTTATAATTAATGGCCCACACATTCATGTTTTCACCCCTTTGATGCAGGTAAAGTTATTGTCATTTATATAGTTGTACTCCTCTTCATCACTTTCTTCACTTTCCATCATATTTATCACCATAACTCTCCAATTCTACTACTTACATGAGTTTAAATGGATTGTAACTTCAAGTGAGAGTGTCCACACTAGGCCATTCTACTTTTTAAATGAGTGATTTTTATAAAGCCTCCATTCACTGCTAAATATAAAACTTACAGATTTTTCTGACTTGTTTAAAGCCACTTTGGAACTAATCAAAGGTAGAATGGTTACGTCTAAAGGTGGATCTAGTAAGCTTTTGTCTATTACTTACCAGTGACTCTAGATTTTTTGGGAAGATGTCACTTTTGTCAGATTAAAATGAATCTTGCACGTTTTGGATATATCTGCTGCATTTCAAGAGCAATTATTTTTTTCTATCTGTGTCCCCTATTTTTAAAACATATTGTACAGACTAAAATTTTAAACTGTTTTCACTCTGCATCACCTGTAGTCTAATTTGTTTGCAATTATTTTCCTTTGATACTGCATCTAAGTTGAATATATTTTTTCTCATGTAGACGAACAAACTGTCCAGCAATACTCTTGTTGGATACTGTGAGGTGGATCTACTTGAATTTCTGACCAAGGTGAGGAAATATAGAAAAATTAGAGATTTTAGAATTGTTCATTTATTTGTTTATTCTGTTTTGTTTGATCATTATTCATTGTACACACTTTGGTTGTGAATGATATGATCATGCAGGATTCTGATTCTGGCATCGAGGTATTGAACCTTTTAGATCCATCAGCACCTGGAAAAGTGGTTGGCAACATTTCCATTTCATGCTCCGTAGAGGTATACGGATTATGATATAAATTCTTATGTTGTTTGGGAATTTCTGACAATAATAAGCACATACTAACAGGATCCAATTGAGACGGAGAAAGGCTTTGTCAGACGCATTCTATCTATAGTGGTAAGTTTGATCTTGCTCTGTTTTCTGATAAAATGTGCCTAATGTGGGGCTTAAATAAAAAGACATATGGAGTTAACACAAGAAGTGGTGATGTCAACTTTCATTCCTTTAAATGAGGGTACTGATATAGGGATATCAAACGATACTATGCGTTGCCACTAATTGATACCGAGTCCTTGTTCCAATATTAACACACATTCGTAACATGTTGTACGAGTTGCTATAACTGGTTGAATACATAGAATATTTGGAATCAAAGCGTCATGGAAATCACAGCATGTAATTTATTATTGTCTATATAACTTAAATATACTGATCTCATGTTGCACCCTCTAACATTTAATATCAACCTGAGAAGTGATGTTTGATGCAGGACTACAATGAAGATGGGACGCTTTCACTTTCTGAATTTTCTGACCTAATTGATGCTTTTGGCAATCAAATTGCAAATAGCAAGGTTCATACCTGAGTAGTTATTTTGCAGTTAATTTGTTCCATTACCTTTTATTTATGAATTATTTGCCTTGAAAACTATCTTTAATTTGCTTGTGTACCTGGTTTTGAACTTGGACTCCGATTTTCTGTCCCTCTATTGTCAGATTGTATATTTGATATACACTAATGATATCATGATTGTTAGTACTTAGAACAATGTGGTTATATCGAAGTCCAAATCTTCCCTACAAGCTCTTATGGTAGAATGGTTACGTCTAAAGGTGGATCTAGTAATCTTCCCTACAAGCTTTTGTGGATTTGAGAGTACGGCACAGCGGGAAACTCCTAAATTTTAGGAGTATTAATGTCTCTTCTATACCTTAGTTTATTATGTACATCAAGGATATAGAAAATATTTTGCAACTTATGTTTTTCTTACTTCGTTGGACAGATATAAAAATGGATAAATCATGGATTGACATGCTACGGAATACAATTGAATATTTGGATGGACTGAATAAATTTTTAGATTTTGCATTTGAGAATCTATTGATATCGTATTTTGTTAGATACACTTTATTAATGAATAATGTGATGAATTTTATTGGACTTTTAGGATGAAATTTGATTTTATCTTAGTTGATATTGAATTATATTTAGCTAAGTACTCTGTCAAAGTGAATTATATCTAAAAACTACAAATTTAACCATTTTTTAGTAAGAATCAAACTAATATTTTATGTCATTAAAACAAATGAAAAATATATTATACATTTCATTAGATTATTGATTTTATTATAATGATTAAATTATTATTACACTTATGGTGGTATTTTAAAGTAATTCTAAATAAAAAAGTATTTTAATTATTAATTATAAAATTATTAAAAAATAATTTGTAAATAATAATTAAAATTGATTTATTGATAAAATAATTAAAAAATAGTAATTAAATAATTTTTGGTGGTTTTTTAAACCTCCAATAAGTTTTAAATAATTATAAAATATTATATATTTTGCAGCGGTTTTTAATTGTTGAAATATAAAATTAATTATAAAAATAACATTTGTAACAATTTCAAATTGAAACAAAATGTTAAATTAAAATGAGAATAATAATACATTTTATGGCGGTTTTTAAGCTGTTGAATTTTTTTTTTGACATAAATACCAGCATTTAAAAAAATTCGTTACAAATCGTTTTTGACATCTATAAATATGACAGTTATATTAATTGTTACAAATTTTATTTGTAGCGGTTTTTAACTTCTAAAATCTACCATTTTAACCGCTATAAATAACATATTTTTTTGTAGTGGATGTTTTTGTTTTCTCGATATATTGTGACATTTTACTTTGATGTTTTCCACTCTTTAAACCTTTGATTCTCAATTAATGATACTCTGACTTTTTCCATATTCCTCAAATCCTCTTCTTTCGATAACACCTACTGATGACTTTTTTTATCTTCATAATGTACCTTTTATCGATTACCACATTTATTCTTTACAATTATCGATGTTTTCATTCTTTCGATCTATTTTGTAATTTTTAACTTAACAAAATGTCTCCTAAGAGAATACTATATAAATCTCGGTGAATATATATATTCTCTTATCTTCAATATTAATCTTCAAATATTTTATCCTTATTTTATTCACAAACTGTTTCATATCATGTTTCCGTCATTACATTTCATTTCTCTCATAAATACAAAATTCATATTATAAATGTTATTTTTTATATCATTACTCTTTTACCCATCATTGGTCTAAATTTACTTTAAAATATTCGATTTGGATATGGGCCTATCTATAGCAAGCCCATTACATTGTTAGGTTCTCAAGAAAAATCCTTTCTTTCAAAACTAGCATTATTCGTTTTTCTCTCTTTTACATACTTACCCTACTCGCTTAAACATATACAATCAACGCTAATCTACGTCCTCTTCATTACCCCAATCTTATCTTCTTTACAACGCTCTCAACTATCAACTAAAAAACAAAGTTTCTTCCATTTCATTTACTAAATGGTTTCATCATCTGCAACTCTCAAACTTTTGCCATTATCGATCTAAATGACAAAACATTTGCACCAGTCATTAGATTACTCGAGGAGACCCAAAAAATTTGTTCAGGTACTAATTCCATACTCAGTAGGGTGTGAACCATTTGCATTTGGAGGACAATTGATACCTAACCCTAATGAACTTATTGATTTCCCTTCTACCGAAGAAGGGAATTGTATTTTACAAAACTCTGAGATGAAGTTTATAATAGATTTCCTTACCCAAACATCCAATTATATTGTTCTAGACCACCCGAGAAGAAATCTTCCTATATTAAATGGCTCGATAGGGTCGAATCTCTATTTAAGAATCATTGGAGGAAGATTGATATCTATAACTTCCTTTATCTTTCTCGTTTTGACATAGGTTATCTCGATGTGACGATGTTTCTCCCAACACATCCAACTTGACATAGTTTTATATTAAGACATAATTTAACTCTTGTTTTACAATTTATATTAAATTTATAATATTATTGAGATAAAACTCTAATTATAATTAAAAGAATAATAGAAATAATATTGCAGTATATAAGTTTTGCCTTTTTAAAACTAAGAGTGTTTAAAATTTGTGATTTTATTTACTATATTTATAAATTTAATTGGTAAATAAATATAATATAAAAATGATTTAAAAATATTTACTTTTTAAGCAATATTATATTTGTGCTTGAAATTACCAAATTAAGTTTAAAAAAAGAAAAAATAATAGTTTGATTAATAATTAATTTTTTTCTGTGTTGAAATTAATATATTAAAAGCATCTATATTTTTGACAGATTGTTTTCGGGATATATAGTTCAATTATAGCATATGGTATCGAACAATTCTAACATGTTACACTGTAAGAAAATTCAGGTTAACAAAAGAAAATACTTTGCTACAATTTTCCTATTTAATTAACGAATAATCTAGTTTTAATTTTGAAAATTAACCGGCCTAATTTTTTGGAACAATTATTTTGCAGAATAAAATAAAATTATTCAACGGAAGAGTTTAAATATGTAACACAATTCTGCAGTTAGAAAGACCACAACATTTAAATAAAAACAACACGATATTTTTGCATTAACAATAACCTCTTCATAAAATAAATAAATAAATAAATACTGTTCTTAAAATTTGCCACTTCAGAGTTTACATGGATTGGTCATAAACAAAACTAAAGACTTGATTAAGAGTGAAGAAACTGATGGTAGTTATAGAATCATAGAAGAGTGTTTGTGATCACACTGGTAAGTAATTTGCATCTACACGTAATAAATTATAGGTTACAGGAGATTAAGACGAAGGAATTTTCTTTGTGAAAGAAAGATTGAAAAATTGACGCCGTGGATCCCGGTAGGTTAGAAGATTACAATTGAGACATTTGTAGACGTAATGTATCGGTTATAAAACATTATCAGCAGCCCCTTCTTGTGGTCAATCTCATCTCACCCTTCAACTTAACTATCTCATATATCATGCCACACAATTGTTCCACGTATCAAAAGGGAATTGTTGAAGATTCAATGCTCCTTGGCTATAAATAGGAATGATCCCAACATGCAAAACTCACCATTGCACCTGACAACGATAACTATATCCAACAATGTCGACCACCCCTCTTGCTCTCTGCCTTTGCTTTGCATTCCTCTTCTACGGTATGTATCTTATTTTCAACTTCATTTCGTTTCCTTCTTTGCGTATTATCATGTATCATACTAGTTGTTACACTCATTTATGCCTACTGCATAGCAACACTCATTTGTGAACTGGGTTTTGCATATGTGCAGTGTCTCAAGGAGCCAAGGTTACATTCACAAACAAGTGCACATACACAGTATGGCCAGGAACCCTAACCGGAGACCAAAAGACGCAGTTATCATCAACGGGTTTCGAATTGGCTCCAGGAGCCTCCAACTCTTTAGACCTTCCATCTCCATGGTCGGGCCGCTTCTGGGCCCGAACCGGATGCTCCAACAACAACGGCAAGTTCACTTGCGCCACCGCTGATTGCGCCTCCGGTCAAGTCGCGTGCAACGGCGCAGGTGCGGTGCCACCCGCAACTCTGGTAGAAATAACGGTTGCAGAAAACGGAGGACAGGATTACTACGACGTGAGCAACGTGGACGGGTTCAACATCCCCATGTCCGTAACCCCACAAGGTGGAAGTGGCGACTGCAAAACCTCGAGTTGCCCTAAGAACATAAACGATGTGTGCCCTGCAGAACTTCAAATGAAAGGGTCTGATGGTAGCGTGATTGCTTGCAAGAGTGCGTGTTTGGCTTTCGGAGATGATAAGTATTGTTGCAAAGGTGCATACGGCACTGCAGAGACATGTCCACCAACGAACTACTCTCAGATTTTCGAGGAGCAGTGTCCTGATGCTTATTCCTACGCTTACGATGACAAGAACAGCACCTTCACTTGTTCCAACAGGCCTGACTATGCCATCACGTTCTGTCCTAATAACTAACTTCTTAACCTTATTGCTTACATACACCTATCTCCAACATAAGTGCTTACGCACATATTTCAGCCACATATATGTCTGAATAAGAAATAAAGAATCACTTCTTTCCTGTGATAGTATTGATGAATTATATCATCCATCCAATTATAGTTGGTTTTCCATGATTTATTTCATCCGTGTAATTTGTTTATATTTTTTTTTCTGTCATGGTTTCCTCCCACACTATCACCATCATCGCTGAGTTTTTCATTACATAAATATTATCACAAGAGCATTTCACATTTGATAAGTCTTTTTTTTGTAAATTTTATATAAGTTTTAAAAAATTATGTAAGAAACTCAGGCCATAAGAAATTTTATATAAAATTCGTATAAAATATGAAAAATTTAGTACTATACGAGCAAAATGCCTGATTTTATTATGTTTATACGCGGAGCTACGATGACTTATAGGGTCATTCATGAAGCCTAAAATTTTATATATAATTTATATTTTTTATTTTATTATTTTGAAAGAAAAATATTTTATTTTACCTTGACTTCCCTCAACTTCTAGCTCTGCGACTCTGCTTATATAGTAATATTGGGTTAAATCATCTACAAATTACAAGAATCTAGTTCGTAGAAGATGAATAAATTGCACTTGATATATAATTTGACTCTACTATTATTAGACATATCAATATCTTTATAATTATTGTTCTTTTAATTATTATATTTATAACAATATTAATGATTCAGTTTAAAAATAATATTTTATACTTTTTTTCACAATTCAAATATAGTTTTAAGCCGAATTCAATTTTGTCAGACAGAAAACATGAAATATATATATATATATATATATATATATATATATATATATATAATATTAATAATAAAAATTTGTTCTGAATAAGAAAATTGATCAATCTAGAATTGTGGTAAGAAGATGTTCCTGTGACACATGAGGGAATCCTAGTGAGAGTGAATGATATATATAAATTGATAATATGTGGAGTTTTCAAATGGAAATGAGAAATGGTCTTCTTAGAAAAGTAAAATGACCTCATAATTTTCTGTTGTCCATTTCTTAATTTTATTGTGCAACTCATTAAACGATGAAATATTCTCTGACCTATCCCTCCTTTACTATATACCTTTCTTCCCAGTCACTTGTATGTTCGCCATGTGTCCAATTGTCAAAAATGATTTATAGACAACACGTGTTTTCGCTCTTTTACTCTTCTCTTCTTTCATTCTTCTTCATCCCTCTAAAAGTCTCTTTGATGCCACCTTTTCATTTTTGTTTTTATAATCAAAAGTCATCTACTCATTTTCAGATTTACTTTCTTTTTAATTTTTTTAAAATATTATTATATAAATTATATAATATTTTGTTAGGCTTTAATATTCCAATTTTAATAACCAGCAATTCTATATCTTATAAACAGGTTTTTAAACCAAGAATTGAGACAAATCTACATCATCAATAGAAATCGCAAAAAATATATGGAGTCGAAGAGAGACCAGAGCAGAAGTAGAGTAGTGACGAAAAGGAAGTCGTTGAGACGAAGGAGGAAAAGAGGGTGATGAGAGAGAGGGTAGGGTGAGATGATGGTGGTGATGAAAGTTAGGGCAGTGGTAATTGGAGGGGGTTTGCTTTTCCACTTCAAGAAAGTGGTGACTGTCATGGAGATTGAATAGTTGTGTGTGACACATTTAGGAGGAAGAGGAAGGAGAGAGAAAGCAGAAGATAGAAAAAAAAAAAAAAAATGGCAGCATGCCTATGATAGATGGTTCATAATGGAGAGCATAAAAAAGACAATGAGATTAATGTGTAAACTTTTATGTAGTTTTCCTATGTTCTTAATTCATTATAGAAACTACTCTACAAGATCTTTAGATTATTGATTTTCACAACATAACATACATGAATCATAATAAGAGAACTAACCTTGATTTATGAAAATATATTCTTTAATCTTCTCGTTCTCCAATCTCCTTTTCCCAATCTATCTCTTTGTCTTTCTTTCTCTTCTCACGCTTTCTTGATGGTTTACCGTGAAAAACCTTATGACCAGAGACAAAACCCTTATTCCATTCAATTAACCAACGTCCATCAAGTTGGTTACCGTAAGTTAATATTTTATTTTATCTTTATTTTATTCTAACTTCACATAATAACCAATAGGTCCTCATATTTTATTAAATCACATTTGGGCACATCATTATATTTCACATGAGTCACATAATGGAATGAATTAATTAAATTAATTCTAACATTCTCCCACTTGACTCATGTGATGTCATACGATTCTGTGATTTAATACTTAAGTTATAATGCGCATTAAAGGACCTTACATAAATTGGTTCTATCATTATTCATAATTAAAGATATAACTATAACAAGAGTCATGGCAGTTACATGTCATTCAATCGACGAGACTCCCTTCCATGTACCACTATATTATCTCTTTCTCCTTAATATGACTTTAAAATGAGAAGTCCATAATGGGTTCAAACATAATATCATTTTAATAATAATAACATAATTTGTTTTCTTCATCATAATTTGCATGCATATAAATAAAGAAGAAAACACAAATTTCAGAAACTTATACATTAAAGATCTCAGAGTGTCACATAAGCATTAATAATAACATTAACATTCAACATTCACTAGTGAACATAATGCCCACATTCATTATATGGCCAGCAAATAATTTGGGCAATAATCCCTTTGTTAAAGGATCAACAATCATATATAAGATCAGTGCTAGTATGTTCTATTGACACTATACGTTTCTGAACTTCTTCTTTAACGGCAAAGTATTTCAATTCAATATGCTTAGCACCTTTGGAATACTTGTCGTTCTTAGAAAAGAAGACTGCTACGGAATTGTCACAATAAATTTTCAGCGGCTTGGCAATGCTGTCGACTACTCCAAGTCCTGAAATAAAATTCCACAACCAATTAGCTTGAATTGTGGCCTCAAAACATGCCACAATTTCAACTTCCATGGTGGATGCAGCAATGACAGACTGCTTCGGACTTTTCCATTAAATCGCTCCTCCGGTTAAAAGATATACATAACCAAATGTAGACTTTCGTGTATCCATACAACCAATAAAATTTGAATCTGTATATTCAATCACCTCAAGGTGGTCAACTTTCTTATAAGTAAGCATGTGATTCTTTGTTCCTTGTAAGTATCTTAAAACTTTCTTTGCAGCCTTCTAATGATCCAGTCCAGGATTACTCTGGTATCTACCCAGCATACCAACTGCAAAGCTAATATCTGGCCTCGTACATGTTTGAGCATACATCAAACTCCCAACAACAGATGCATAAGGGATATTTTCTTTCTGTTTCCGTTCCAAGTCATTCTTTGGACATTGCATGAGACTAAACTTGTCTCCTTTCTGTATTGGAACAGGAGATGCTGAACACTTCTCCATTCTGAATCTCTCTAAAATTTTATTAATATATGTTTTCTGAGACAAACCTTACAGTCCTTGTGATCTATCACGGAATATTTCTATTCCTATAACATAGTATGTCTCACTCGTATCTTTCATTTCAAAGTTGTTAGAGAGAAAATTCTTAGTCTCAATTAATAGACCAAGATCATTAGTCGCAAGCAAGATATCATCAACATACAGAATCAGAAATATAAACTTGCTCCCACTGACCTTCAGATATATACACCGATCAACAATGTTTTCCTTAAATCCAAAGGACAAAATAGTATCATTAAACTTAAGATACCATTGTCGAGAAGCTTGTTTAAGTCCATATATTGATTTCTTAAGTTTACACACCATATGTTCATTTCCTTCTTCAATAAACTCCACTGGTTGATTCATATAAACATCCTCCTCTAAATCTCCATTCAGAAAAGCAGTTTTAAGATCCATTTGATGCAACTCAAGATCATAATGAGTTACTAATGCCATGATAATTCTAAAGGAATCTTTCTTAGAAATAGGTGAAAATATTTCCTTATAATCAATGCCATCTTTCTGAGTAAAACCTTTTGGCAACAAGACATGCCTTGTAACGTTCGATATTGCCATGAGAGTCACGCTTAGTCTTAAAGACCCATTTACACCCAACACTCTTGCATCCTTCTGGCAATTCCACAAGATCCCATACACCATTATATGTCATTGATTTAAGCTCATCTTTCATAGCATCTAACCATTTATCAGAATTATCACCATTAATGGCATCTGAAAATGAAACGGGTTCATTATCAATACTTAGGTCATTTTCTGACTCTTGTAGATAAACCACATAATCATTCGAAATAGCAGACTTTCTTTCTCTGTGAGATCTTCTTAATACTATTTCCTGTGGTTGTTCTATTATCGGATCATTGTTAATCGCAGAATCATTAATTTGTTGTTCTTCTTGATTGTCGTGTGATTCTACAACATTTGGAACAACAACTCTTGAAGATGTACTAGTTATTGGAACTTGTACTCTAACTTCCTTAATCTCCACATTTCGTGAAACTTCACTCCCACTGGTTTCACCATTTTCAATGAACCGAGCATTTCCAGTTTCAACAATTCTTGTACTATGAGTAGGACAGTAAAACATATACCCCTTTGATTTTTCTGGATAACCAATGAAATATCCATTGATTGTTCTTGCATCCAGTTTCTTTTCTTGTGGATTATAAATTCTTACTTCTGTCTGACTACCCCAAACAAGCAGGTGTCTCAAACTAGGTTTCCTACTTTTCCATAACTCAAAAATCTTTTGAACAACTTTACTAGGAACCCTGTTCAACAAATACATGATAGTCTTTAAAGCATACATCCACAATGATACAGGTAAACATGAATTACTTAACATACTCCTAACCATATCAAATCATAGAAGTACACTTAAACAAACTGAAACAACCATTCCCAAACTTAAAAGAGTATCCAATAACATCAAGCTTAGACAAATAAACTAAATTTCTAATGATACTAGGTACATAAAAAGTATCCATAAGGTCTAAGTGATA